CTTCACAATCTGTTAAGAACATTGAAATCAGGAAGCTCACGTGGCTAGTATCATGAGTGGCACATACTAAGTACTCAATAAATTTGCCATGATAATTGATCGACAATTTCATTCTCACAGCAACTGTATGAGGCTTAGAAGAGGAGACCAAGCTCCCATCACCCAGCTAATAAATGGCAGAGCTGGAGCAAATCTCAAGTCTATCCAAAGAACATGACTTGAGGGTGGAGTGATCCACTGGGGGATGTTATGCTCCCCGGGGGGCTCTGAACTCTACTAAGTGCCTGTCTGTGCTTGGGTGAAAAGAAAGCCCTCTGAAAACACTGAGTGGATACATGGAATAAAAAATAATGCTGATAGGCTGTTGCCTGTAGTCCAAGACTCACACCTTCGGGGTGCTGGGGGTAGGGGGGGGCGGGCTGCAGGCACCCTCCCAGCTGGCTACTGAGGTTACAAGAGAGGAAGACAGGGGACCTCAACTGCAAGCTTTCAAATCAACGCTGAGGGCTTCCTTGCCCTGAACGTCTCCCCTGGCCGCTGTCCGCAGAGGGACTGACACTTGTCCTGAAAGTCCTCCCAGGGCCTGCAAGCCACGCTTCTGCTTCTGTTTGTGCTTGTTCCTGGTGGGGCTGAGACAGGGGTGAAGCTCCTGGGGGCTTGGGATGACTGTTGGTGACTCTGTCCTTGGGGCTTTGGTCTGCTGTCTCCAAGGGACAGGGCGCTGTTCCTAGAAGTGACTCTTGGTTTCATCAGATTCCTACACATAGAATGCAAGGGTGGGACAATCGCAGGGCAGGTTTGGAATTCGGATGGGTCGGTCGCTTGTGTGGTGGGAATTTTGAGGGTTGCTCAGAGGGGTGGGGGTGGGGCGTAGGATCTGGGCCTGGAGCGGCTTGCTGAGCTCTGCGACCCCTGCTCCATCGACATGACTGTCACGTAGGCCCCGCCTGTGGCCATGTGGTGTGCCTGGGCTGGGCATAGTTAGGCCTCTGTTGGGGGCCGAGGGCCAGAGAAGAGATGAAAAAGACAGACCATCTCTCTACAAAGCAAAACCTGCCCCCGCCCCCCAGCTGCCTCCACAATGACTGGAGGGCTCTTGGTGGGCGACTGCTGGCGGATTCAGCCCTGAGCCGCGGGCCCTGGCATATGGCACTGCCCCAGCCCCGGCTCTGACCCTCCCTGCCCTGGCCACCAGTGTCTGGGCCGCCTGGATCCCCAGGGCCCAGCAGCCTGTCATGGCAACAGCTGGGGGAGGGGCCCCGCCTGCAGGCTGAGATGGATGGGCTGCCGGCCAGGTGCCAGAGGGTCCCCTCCCTGGGGTCTGGGGCGGCGGGGCAGGGAGTGACACCTGGGGAACAGCAGGAAGGCCTCTGTCTGTGGAGGGGGGCTGAGAGCAGGGATATGAGCGACCACCAAAAACTGTGGGTGTCCTCCGCCATCATCTGCCGTCCCCTCCCCTCCTCCAAAGAAAAGAGTAAATGCAGAAGCATGGCCGGGGAATTTTGTTGGAGATGCCTCCAAGGGAGGAGGTGGCACAGTGACTCCTTTGGACCCCGGCTGTGCCAGACCCTGATTTCTGGCAGATGACCTTCCCCTCCTGATGCCCCCTCCTTTGGCGAATTGGAGAGGCGGCTGCTTGACAGGTCCCGGCACCATCTGTCCCAGCAGCTCCCTGGTCATCAGCTGAGAGGAACTGAATGGAGACGTTTGACTTGCAAATGTGGGGAGCCCTGGCCCAGCGGGGAAGTGGGGCAGAGTGGGGCTGGGCCGGGGAGGCAGGGGCAGGGCCAGTGTGGCTGTGGCATGGGGTCACCCTTGCAGGCTACTCATAGCACTGGAGCTGATGTTGAAGCATTTGTCTCCTATCTATCTGCAGCTCCATGCCATAGACTCTCAGGGGCATTTATGTTCCACATGGAGCAGGAAACAGAGAGAAGACTGGATTTGTTTGCCAATACAGAAATACTAAGCAATTTTTGGTGCCCAAATCAGAACCTCAAATACTACTTAATGATAAGTTTTTTTTTTTTTGGGGGGGGTGGATGCTCTCAAGTTCAAGTCATGATGCTATCTTAAATTCCATCTACGCTACAGAGGACACAGGTGCTGCCCCCAACCCTGCTCCCCCAGGTCAGGTAAAGGGCTTATGACTTGCTTTCTAGCTGTGGATCTGGATCTCTGGGCATGCATACTCTTTGATTTTTTATGTGTGTGTGTGTGTGTGTATTCAGATCAAGATCTGTACTAAAGTAAGCCAACTTCAGCTAGGCCAGTCACCTCAAAACGATGATTGCCTAAAAATTAGGACATCCAAACAGGCTTGCAACCAAGGAGAGTCCCGAGAGAGTCCCGTGGGAAGGAGGTGCTGGGATTCAGCAGGAGACATCACTGGGATCTCTTTGATAGGGCACCTTAAATGGAAATTATCAAATGGCTTTTTAAAACATGCACTCTTTTGTTTGATTAGCCCACTGTAGATAACCTTTATTAAACCTGATCTGAAATTACAGCCATGGCCTGGCGCTTCTTTGATGGTGAGGCTGTTCCATTTCCTGTTTATACTACGATACACGTTGCACCAGGAGATAAAGCACTTCTGAGGGATATTAAGACATAAAAGTCCCTTGGCTATTTGCTGGCACTGTTTTGATGTTTTCTTGCTCCCTGGAAATTAGCATATCCTTTTCAAAGGCTGCCTCTGATGAGAGTAATCCTTTGCCATGATGTATTCGCTAAAAGTCATCAATGATACTATATTGTGTAAAGAAATGACACATAAAAGGCATAATGCTAGATTATTGATAATGAGGCAAGTTGTGTAACGGTTGCTTTTGGCTTTTCTGAAACATATTTTGACACCATAAATACACTGGGTTTCTATTAATGAGGATTTAATGCTTCTGAGATTTTAAAGAAACTCACACGGAACAACTTTTCAAAGGCAAGAGCTAGCGGGGGGGCAAGTTTAACATTTTCACTAATTTTACTAAGTTATGTTCTATCAAAATGTTTTATTGCCTTCAAAATAAGAAACGATTATTAGCTTTTAGTGTTCCTTTGTTTTCGCAGTTTGGAGTTAATGAATAAGTACTGCATGGAACAGATTTGGGGGAAAGAGTTTTTTGCCCACACACCTACAAATTTTTTTTTCTTTTTAAGTAAGGAGAGGAGGAGTGAAGGAAAGAAAAGTGGGGAGAGAAGGAAGGGAGACAGAGGAAGGTGAGATAGAAAAATAAATGAGGGATGGTGTGAGGGAGGGAGAAAGGAAAGAGAGGGAAGAGGGAGGGGGAGGAGATCTGTTGGTCAGTGATTCAAGGAAGGGGTTGGGGCAAAACTCAAGTTCAAGGCCATTTAGGAAAAGCATTTTTACTTGAGCTCCTGTGATCAGTCCATAGACTTGTCCTTAGTTCAGTTAGTTATCCTCGAAGCTCAAAGTTTGAAGAGCCCTGAGCTATGGAGTCTGGGCCAGTCCCACTCCCGGGCAGAACTATACCCAGACTAATTCCTATAAGACGATTCTTGAGTTTTGCCTAAAACTCAACGCCAAGGGGTGCTTCGCTGCTCCTCTGTGATTACCAAAAAGTGTGAAGAGGAAAGCGATATGGAACGCCCTGGCAAAGAAAGGTTCTCCCCACTCTGACATCACTATCAATTTACACCAAGCACAAATTTTAGATGCTCACAGCGGGAACATTTTCTTAGAAATCCACACATCTTAAAAATAACGGGATGTTTCAAGCGGTCCGCCTGCTTCGGTCTGCTCCCCCATGCAATTAACACGCCTTGGGTTGTCTTCAGGATCAAAAATCTTTTCTTAATTACAGAAACACTGTTCTTGGGTTGCGGTTTGGAGTATTTTTCTCTTGGAGATTTGATTCCGACTTGGCTATTAGAAGAGCCGGAATTGGAAAAGGGAGATTGGCAGGTGATTGGAGAATGGGGTTGGGTTCTGCGTGTCTTGCCATTGAACATTTCTGGAGACCCTCTGTGGCAGGTCCTGGAATGACCGTATGGGCACAAACTCACTTTTGCACACTTAGGAAATGATCAAGGCAATCCTTGAATTAAGCGGGGGGGTCAGGAAGAACCTCTGGTGCTCAACGTCACCACATCACTGTCATCAGAAGCATCTGTGATTCTTGTCCTGGCCGAGCACACCTCTTCTAGGTTATTCTTGAGTCACTTAATGACAAAGGAATGGGCTCAGTCTTCCCCGGGATCTGAAAGATCATAAGGGGGGCGGGCCTTGAGTCTTGTGTTGGAATTTCTGGAAGTGAAAAGTTGGGGCTCCACATGCTACTGGAGGATTGGAGACTTCTATTGACTGTCCCGGAAACCTCCGGGAAAAGAGTCACGTCCTTCTCCTCCATGCCAGCTCCAGTTCTCTCCCAAACGCTTCCCTCCCAGCTTGAAGGGCACGATCAACCCAGGGGGTTCTCAATACTCAAGTGTCTGGCAGCAAGGTACTCGACCCTGCGGAGGGTAAGTGTTGAGAGGTCCCAGACCAACTCAGGCTGTGTGTGTATGAGGGGGTCCTCTCACATTCTCTCTGGTTATTTTGTCTTTTTATTTTTGCTGTGTGTTGGGTTAATTTTTAGTCCACCGTAGACCAATAAGTGGCTTTACTACAAATCCACTAGTTTGTAGCTATCACCGATGTGGCTTACCGCGGGAGCTGGACAGATCCAGAAGGTTCTACATGCCCTGCATGATCACAGGATGTCATGGCCACGTCAAGTCGATTCATGGACCAATGTCCATTTGGGGACCATACTTGGAGTGTAACTGGTCCAGAGAAAGCATTCTCAGAAGGACTAACTATCAAAGTGACCCAAGTGACTTTTTTATTTATAATAAAATGGATGTTTAATGTTATCAATGATGGTTTTAGCCAGTTTTTTCACTGCTGCAACTGAAAGACCCAACCAGAACAACTGTGGAGGAGGAAAGGTTCATTACGGGTCTCACCGTTTTAGAGGTCTCCGTGTTTCCATTCCTAGGGCTTAAGGTGAGGCAGAACATCCTGGCGGAAGAATGTGGCAGAGGGGAGCAGCTTGCACGATGTTCAGAAGAACATGAGAGAGATGCCACTCGCCAGGTACAAATATATACCCCAAAGCCATGCCCCCAATTAACCACCTCCTCCAGCCACACCCCACCTGCCTCCAGCCACCACCCAGTTAATCCCATCAGGTGACTGATTCGCAGATTGGATTAAGGCTCTTGTGACCCAATCGTTTCTTCTCTGTAGCTTCTTGCATTGTCTCACCCGTGAGCTTTTGGGGGACACTTCACATCCAGATCATAACGATGGAGATGTAATGGAAGGGACCATAAGAGTTCACCATCTTGGTCTCAGCTTGAGTTGGGGTGCATTTGGGGCTCTCTCTCTCTCTCTGAGAGTGCTGAGCTGGCCATAAACTACAGATACTGATGTCTCGGTGACGGCCATGGCAATTGTGAATTCTTTTGGCAATGGTTGAGTTGTGATTTTGAGAGCATTCGCTCTTTTTTATTTTGCCCGTGAATAATTTTTCAGCAAGGAAGAAGCAAGGAGAGATGAGGATGAAGGTAGAGCAAGAATGAGGATATTATACATGTTTTCACCTTGAAAATGAGTCAGTTCTATGTTTCAAGTCATACTCTCCTGCTTATCCGTGCTCATTCTTCAATAATATGCCCCCTGGCCTTATTAAAATTATCTGCAGAGTCCAGATGGGGAGGGGAAACAACACCCATTATTGGTGTTCATTATTCTGAAAAATTATGTTAACCTACTTTATTCCTTTTCCCTTGCAGGATGACAGTTTTGATCTCTTTAATGACTGTGTCATGACTTACAGACTTATAAAATGCTTTTGTGGGTACCACACCCATTCCCCAAAGACCACCCTCTCTGCATTTCTCTCCTCCGGCACTAAAGATATTAAATTGCGTGCAAGGATGATACCTTCTGAAAACACCTTCTGAGAGGTCAGAGGGTTCCTGGAACGGTCGTTGTACCTCTTCAAAAAAGGTGCTGCTGTGGGGATGCAGGGCAGAGTTGGGAGCTTTCTGGGCCTTGCAGCAGTTTCAGGATCTATGTGTAGGACACACCCGCGGGAGGGAGCTGCCCTGGTCTCTACACTTACCACCATTGATGTCAGGCGCTGAGAGAGGAGTTCACAGTAGGAGCGGGGAAGGGGTGCTTGCTGGGCACCCTGATGATCAAGATGGCCCTGCTTTAAGCACACGACTCCAACTCTTCTCTGTCCACTCTTTTTTAACCCAAGGGAGCATTTCCCCTCCTACATGCCTACGCCTCACTCTTCTGCATACACCACAAGCTTCAGAGGATGCTGGAAGAATGTCAATGAATTCAGGATTCACAAAGAACATGGGGCTGTGTAAATGTGAGCACAGAGTCCACTCCCCCACCTCCCAGACTGCTAAAGAGCAGGGATGCGGGTGCGGGAGGCTGCATTCCCGTGATGGGCAGGCCCCTGCACGGTTGGGCTTCCTCATCAGCAGCGGGGGATGATGACAGGCACCTCTCTGGGGTGTTGGGAAGGCTAATGCTAACTCTGACCTGCTTTGTGTTTCCTATGCAGGAACAATTTTTATCTGGACTCTTCCAGCGACCTGGAAGATCTCTTGCAGAGAGGTCTCGCGGTGCGTCTGAGCATCAGGAGTTACAACATTCCACACAATGAATTCTCTTTTTCTTCCCTAAGCCCTTTCCAAACCTTCAGTCCTTTGACCTGAAAAAGGGAACACAGTGTTCCCGTGTTCCCATTTGATTCTTCTCTTTTTTTCCTTTGCTAAGAGTGTTTCTTGAGGTTGATGTGAAAATGGCTAAAGTAGACTTGGTTCATTGCACTTCCCGGCCCATGTCAGATGCCCGAGGAGGGCTTGTGGGTGTGAACCGGTGCTTCCTATTTAGCAATCTCCCCATTTCTTTCTACTTTCTTTTTTTCCTGGAGACGAATTACCTCTCCTGACAGACTGATGACCTCTTGACGGGACTCTACTGCGAGACAATCCAACCGGGTTCCTCCGGGTCTCAGAGGAGGAAATGCTTTGCCACCACCCAGCTAGTGTGGCTCCCCTGTCACCCACCTGTCCTGGTATTGTCAGGCCCTCTCAAAAGATTTCGAGCCGAGTTTTCTGTGAGCCCAGAGCCTCGGCCTCGGTGGAAATCCGAGGGCGGCTGGTGTGGAGCGCGACGTTACAGAAGCTAAACGCTTTTGAGACAATCCAAGTCAGGCTTGCAGAACAGCCAAGACAGGCAGCAAGGAACAAAAAAGGAGCCGGTGGCTTCCTCTCAGCGTTTGGAAGGAGTGGTAATTATCCAACCTCCCCGTCCTGTCCCTCTCAACCACAGCTAAACAAGGCTGGGCACTTCACACTAGAAGCCAACCCCCGACTGGAGTCTTCTAACCCGGTTCAAAAGTTTCCTTTCAACCTGGACCATTCAATTCCGTCTTTCTTCCTTCCCTTTTATCCCTGGAACTGTAGCAGGGCTCTCTGGAGGAGCGAGGAAATCAATGCCTCACCTGCCTGCGCACCGGACTCGGCTAGCCTGGCCTGAAAGGGGGGCGCGCACTTCCTCGGCACCCCCACTGGCTGCCGCTCACCTTTACTGCTCTCCCGAAAACAGGCCACGGTTCTGCAGCCCAGGGGAGCCTGGAGCCCCGGGACGGAAGAACTTTCCCAAGGGCCTTGGGGGCTCCGGCCCATGGCGGAAGGTGAGGCCGCCTGGGTTCTCTGCGGGGCCGGCCACTTCAACGCCGCCTCTTGGCCTCCTGATGGACGACGAACACGTCCCAGAGTTGCAGGCAACGGCTGGCTGTCCTGTCCTTTAGGCCAGTGGCCCCTCTTAGAAACAGTATTATCCAGCGGGTAAGGATGCTGAATCCAGCAGCCTGGCTTCCATCCACGCCCTGGCATTCTTGAGCCACATGATTGCCCACCAATAATTCGACTTCAGGAAGCCTCGGTTTTCTCATCTGTAAAAGGGCGCGATCATATTAGTCCTTGTTTCCCAGGTTCCTGGTAATGATGGAGCACTTACAGAGCCCAGCCTGAGAGGGGTGGGATCCACGCCATCGGACGCAGCAGGATGGGCCGGATAGATTGGGTCTGGTATCCTGGAGAACAGGAAGAATAAAAACCCCTTGAGTCCCTTTTGCTGATGTCTGATTGGGAGGTCACATGCCTTGCTACTCTGGTTTTGTTTTTCCATCCACCATTTAAGTTTAAAAATAAATACATACATGAATAAAAAAGGCAGTGAAACTTTTTCTTAAAGAGAGATCCTCACAGCCTTCTGTTTCTGTTTTTCTGCTGAACTGGGAATTAAAGCCAGAGGTGCTCTGCGACCGAACTATCTCCCCAGCCCTTTTTATTTTGAGGCGGGGGTCTTACGAAGTTGCCAGGCTGACCTCAAACTTGCCGTCCTCCTGCCCCGGCCTCCTGAGTACCTGGGATTCCAGGCTATGCACCCTGGTGCCGGCTCCTACAGCCCTTTTAAGCCTCCCTGTCCGGCACAAAGCTCTTGACCACAAATTGAGCTGCAGGTGACCGACAGCTTGCACCTGCCCCATCCCTTCTCCTCCCTCGACAGCAACAGCGTATCCAGCAGCGAATTCCCTCCCTGCACACCTCACCTCTACTCCAGAAGCAACTTAATTGCCATTAATCACCAGCTCCAGCGGCTGGGCTAGAGAAGGAACCCCTCTACCTGCCTCTGGGGCTCTGAGGTTCAGCCCTCCCTGCCACTCACCCCTTGGGCCGACAGGCTGTTTGTTGGGCTAAGGAAGATGATACTAGAGGACTCAATCAAGGAGGGGAATCACACCCAGTGCGGCTTGACCCTTTCTCTGCCTCCATAACATGAGGGTCGGGGTGAGAGGAGGAGGATGGAGGAAAGGGGGGGAGGAGGAGGGGGGAGGGGGGGAGGGAGAGGATAGGGGGTGGCAGTGCCAATGCTCGGTCACGAGTCTCTGCCCTGCCTTGCTCTTAGGGTGGAGGATACACCTCCCATCTCTGGACTCCAGGCTCAGGGGCACTGTTTGCTTTGGCCAAGGAGACGCTAGTGGACAGCTCCGAGCAAGAGCCCTGGCCTAGCAGGCAAAGGCCCTGGGTTGGATTCCCTGGTACCGAAAAAATCAAAAAGCACTGTGCGCCCAGGTAAGCCTGCCCCCCCTCTGCTCCTGACACAGGTGAACGGATGTCCTCGGCTGATTGCTGGCCTCTCTGCAGGGCCCCAGACGGGCACCATGAGCAGACCTAACCCAAAACAAAGCGAGAGGCCACACCCCGCTGGACCATGGCCAAGCCCAGTTGCCCCAAAGAGGAATGAGCAGGCTAAGTGACTCTCGTTTGCAGCCCCTGGGTTTCGGGTGGCTTGCTCTGCAGCCCGGCAGTGGCCAGGGCAGAGGGCAGGTGCTTCCTCTGGTCGCCACCGGGCTCCGCTGTTAGCGCCTGAGCAGAGCGCTCCACAGGGCAGAGCGGGGTTGTGAGGCCACCTGGAGCTCAGGGGGAGAGAGTCCGGGGACCGATTAGTCATGTCTGCCACAGGAAGAGTCATGGCACAAGTTCAGGTTTAAAGCCGCTCCTGGTGACTGACCCTGGGTCCTCCCAAAGGCAGGGCGGAATGCACAAGGCAGCTTGTTACAAAGTCTGCTCTATGCAGGTCGGAGCCCACGACATGTCCTCCGTGTTGGCGTATTCATCTCCCGGGCCATCACCAGTGTGGACAACAGGCTGTGCCCTGCTCTGAGTGACTCCAGGATAAAGAGGAGAGCGGTTCTCAGGCTGTGCCTGACCCCGCGTTACGGCACTTTTATAGGGGCATGGTCTGCCGTGAGTTACTCCATTTGAGTTTCGGGCTGAGGTAGGAGTCCACACCTCGTCTGTACAAGTGAACGACCTCCCTAAGGCACAGACTGATGAGAAGTCAATCATGCTAATAAAAATGACCACCTGTGCTCTTATCGAACTGATCACATGGATGCCGGGGTGTATCAACCCCATGTGGGAAAGACCAGGCCCTTGAACTTACCAAACACCAGAGCCAAGGAAACTCCTCACCTGAGGTCCATAAGAAGAGGACACCCCGGCCCCATCACCTGTCATGAGCTTGCCCAGGAAAACTTCCGCAGAGATGGACTTCTGCTTCTGCACCTGGGCTTCATGCAGCACAGGACAGTTTCTCCTGCCCGTGACGACCAAGCACAGCCCACCCCCACTGGACACCTCGAGCTGACACCGCAAGCTGACCCTGGGAGACCGCTATCCATCAGGACCTGAACTAGAATGAGTGCCTGTGGGTAGACAGCTCTGTTCCCTGAACAGTTCCTTGGCCGGTCTGTAATCTTATCTGACCACCTGCCATGATGCTTCACATTTGATATCTGTTTTCTATCTTTGCTGTCAATTCAGCCTCTGGAACCCCTGTGGCCACCTTAACCCTTTCTTAGTCTTTCTGCATAGAGATATAGATGTTTGTGTAAGGTGTGATGTGTGACTTGAGTGTGATAGATACTAGTAAATAAGACTGGAATACAAGAACCTGTGATTTTTCTGGCTGATGACTATCAGATGACCCACAGATATTTGGTGAGATTTCAACCACTCAAAGTGGTGAGCTTGTGAATTTATGGTTATTCAATAGATTGTGACATTGTGGGAAGACACAGATGCATTTGGCCTATGTCAATGGTCTAGCTCACTCATGCCAACCAGCATTGAAGGCACCACTAGCACACAGAGCTTCTTTAAAAAATCTACTTCTCCTGGGTTTCCAACTTGATAAGCAGTCAGTCCCTTTGTTGTGAAGAAAAAAAAAAAGGTGCTCCTTCTTCCAGCAGGTGTGTTCCGTGATGGTATAACTGGCTTGAAAAGTACAGCATGACCTGGGCTCTGGCCCCCACCTAGTCCCTTGGCTGAGCACTTTTGTCCAGTGCACAAACCATACTACTGTACACGGCAGGCCTACCAGCACAAGTTGGGATGAAAAAAATTTTTAAAAAGAGGAACTAAGATGAAAAGAGAAAAGCCTTCCTTCTCTGGTGTCAGTCTGCCCAACTCCTTTCCTTTGGAGTTTTGAATGAGTCACCTTAGCCCCATTTGATCTTAGGCTTCAGGCTCAAAGAGCTTGTGTGTTCAGGGAAGTTGGAAGAATAGTTTAATTAAAGGTAGGTAAGTCACTACCAGACAGACACATTCTCTTCCAAGAGACGAAACGTCTCCCTCACTGAATCCCCAAGCCTGGAAACGGTGGAAAGTGCTAGGCTGAGAATCAAATCCCTCCAGTTTGCTGCCCACTGCTGTGTGTCGGGAACCTTGGAAAGAAACACCGAGTAAAATCCTCCTCCTCCAGGTAACCGAAAACCGCAGCCAAGGCCGACCCTGGGAATCAGATGGCTTGAGCTGGAAGAGTCCTAAGAAAAGGAATCACATCTGGTTCCATTTTCCTTGTGAAATTATCTCACACGGACCAAGTAGGTCCTTTCCTGAGTGTATAAATGCACAAATGCGGAACGCACACGCACACGTGGTTGTTATCAAACAGTGTTGTGCAAAATTAAGTTGGCTGCTTTACGGTGCCGGGGAGAAGAATGGCAGGCATTTCAGACACACGGGCTTCTCTTTGTTGGGTCTGGAAGCAATCGCTCATAAAGATGGCTACTTTATCTCCAGAGGAGGACCCCTTCGAGAACGGGTGTCACGTTGGGTTTACTCCAGTGACGGGGGTGGTCAGACCTGCAGAGGACCCGAGGTGCACAGAGCCCTGGTTGCTCGGAGATCTAGGGGAAGGCAGTGGGTGTTAATGACAGAGGTCACTCCTGCTCCATGTCCCCGTCTGGTCTTTCCAACGAGGTCTCTAATGTGCTGACCATATGTGAACTCGGGGGCCAAAAGGGACGGACTCACTGGGGCGTTTCAATTACCTTTGCGTCTCCGAGCCTCACATGGTGGCTACCAGGCTCCCACCAGAGGAGACAGACCCTTCTAGACAAGAAGAAGACGTCGAGGAAAGACTCCCCCAGCCTCGGCTGTGGCGAGCCTTGGAAAGACTCCGTCCTGAGCCCGGAGCAGGGGGTGGGATGGGGCCAGCTGGGCATGTGGCTGAGATCCTCGTCCAGCGGCTGTTGCCAAGGAACCCGGATCCTCTAGATGAAGTTTCCCACGGGACCTGTGGGAGCCACGCGGGGTGGTGGGGGGCGGAGGAAAGAGAGAGATGAACTGAGAAGCAGTAAAAGGTGATGAGGCTGGGGGGCTGGGAGGGGCCGCGGGGCGCTTCCTCTCCCGCCTTCCCTGGGATTCCAGATGTTCTTACCACGGTGGGCCAAGCTCACGGGGAAGCGGCGTGGACGCAATTGCATGGTGGCCAAGGGACCGGAAAGGAGGAGCGCTGTGACGTCAGGGGTGAAATACGGGCCCCTGTCCAGGATTCGTTTTTCTCCTTAACTTTGGCATCTCCAAACGCGCCACCCTGGTGAGACACCTCGTGGAACGGTCGTCTGCCCCATAAGGACGCTTTGGCCAACAGTGAACTGCACATTCAACCGTGGTCCTTGATAGGCCATAGTGTCTAGAGGTGTCATGGCCCAACGATGTGCTACCCAAAACGTACCCCTGCTAGGTGACGCATGACCACACACGGTCACTCGGCGCATACAGTCGAAACAGCTCCAGGCTCCTCCTGGTCAGTGTCTCCTGACACCGTTCGGTGACTACAGCAGAGGACACGGAGTCTCTTGGAGCATGTGGGTCAGGGTCTGAAGTCCATTCTTGGAAAGGGATGTCTGGTCTACATAGATATTTGGGTAACATCTTGGGGACCCTGCCTGGCAGGAAAAAGAATTGGAGGAGAGGATCTTCTCTTCTGTCCCTTCCCAGGACATGAAGGTGGCCCAAGAGGGCTTTCCCTTGAAATGAAAAGTTGTGAAACAGAAATACGTCTTCGGTTAGCCCAGGGCCAATCAAAACGTGGCCCACCCCCTCGTCATTAGGGTGGGAGATCCGGAAAAAGTTGGTCCATCACAGTTTCTCTGAAAGGGTCCTGGTGGGGCATTAAAAAGAGGGAACCTGTTTTACGGGGTGGGTTTTTCCATTTCCCAGGGCAAGTGGGAGGCGTGGTCGTGGGGACAGTGCGGGGTTTTTGAGACGGTGCGAATGCGAGACTGGATAGTCCAGCTCCCTTCGCAGTCTGGCCGGGGGCTTTGAGAGTCAGTGGCTGGGGAGGGGTGGAGGGTTGTGCCCTCAGCTCTGCTCCCCAGGGGTCCAGAGAGGAGCATCACTCGGCCCGCTAGGCCTGGACTTCCCTGGGCAAGCTTCCCCTAGCGCAGGCCGAGAGCGGAGTCTAGGGCCGGCCCCACCTGCGACCACTGATGGCGCTCACCGCCCACAGCCTCTGGGTTACAGACAGCTCTGAGATCCCGACCCTTTGCTTCCTCCCGTCTGAAAAGCTGGACATGACAAGCAGCTTTCATGCTTTTTCTGAGAGTGAATTAATTAACACTTAAACGTATCCAGAGCTGGCAACCCCCCGGCCCCCAGTGACCTCTGCAGAGCTGCAGGTGCCCTGCAGGTTAGAAATAAGGAGAGGGAACAGGCAGAGGAGGACGGTGGGCAGAGGAGGACGGTGGGCAGAGGAGGACGGTGGGCAGAGGAGGACGGTGGGCAGAGGAGGACGGTGGGCAGAGGCATCCGACTAGAGGGCTTATGCCACGCGGTGGGGAGGAAGTGCCCAGTGGCCACAGCCAGTGCGAGCCCCCGACGCTGGCCGGGCCCCATCTTGGTTGCCTCCAGAGTGGGCTGTGCCCTACCTGGCTCCCAGCCAAGCTGGAGGCCGAGTCTGATGAGCTTCCAACTTGCCCCGAGAAC